ATATCTACAACGGGCACAGTAATGACGTTTACAGTAAGTCTTTCTACGACAGACCAACGGACCACGAGTGCCCCTGTCGGTCAACCAATCACGCACCGCGGTACCCCGCGTCATCTTACGTCATGATACGCGACACCGCAGCCAATTACCTGCGGTACGTGCCTGTACCACTCACTTTGAATGGCTGCATCCTAATATGGGGCGTCATGCTGTTTGACTACGACTTCCTCAAAGAATTCCCGATCCATAATTCCTTTGAAAATAAGAAGTGGTCCCGGGCCTCTTCTAGATAAACCCCCCAGAAGTGAACCTTCAGTGGATTTTTTGGCTTTGGCTTGTCCACATGCAATTTGACACGTTCCTTGTAACTACACTGCTGTCAATAATGTAGCAAAATGACAAAATGAAAAGCTTGGAGTTTGTAATGTAGGGATTTCTATACGTCTTTATCTAGTGGTTTCATTAGTGATAAAGGCTAAGCCGACCTGCCTGCCACACACACACATGCCACAGGATGGTGACGTCACTGCCTTTCATATGAAACACTGCGCTTAACAATCTAAGGAAGTTCACAAAACAAGCCTGTTAGCCTGGTTTTTGCCTAAACAAATCACACCCAAGAAAGTGAAGTAGCAGTACTAGCAAAGGTGTTTCGCAGATGTAGGTATAGTACGTAATTCAGGCTTTATGAACTCTAATAATTAATAACCCTAATTAAACGAATCCCAGGTGTGAGTTCATAAAGCTTGAATTACGTACTATGCCTATGCCTACTATGAAACACCAAATCATCTACTCTAAAGATTTCAGTGCTATGTGTATATTCTAATTGCAGTGGGGGTAGGATGTGTGGGGAAAGTTTATGCTGAAATTGCATTGGGGATCTGTGATCTTCAAACCTTAAAATTTTTCTCTGAAAGCATTTTCTTCCCAGTTTAGCAGATTTATTGCTGCCTATGCATGTTTACACAGCTCCCTAGGTAAATTATCATACTTGACCAAGAAAGTCTTAGAGAAATTGTAAATATGACGGTTACAATTATCAGATTGTGAATCAAAAAATACATTTAATTAAACACGCATTTGCGATTTTAATCAAAATGGGGTTAGACCATTAGACATGCAACACACTTTCTCGTGATCATCTTAGAATCTTTGTGTAAGCTTTAAGTTTTTTTTTTTACTTTTTAATTATACACTTTAAACACTTTAATTTTGTAAATGCAACACGCATTCTGTACAGACAGTACAATCACATTCTCTTGTCTTCCCGTGGTGTAAAACGAATTAGCAGGTGATTGAGATAACAATGCATCGCCCACTGAGTGGAATGTTCTCATTTGTTCTCAAGTGTAAAATGGTGATAATTCTTAATAATTCCATGTCGCATTTACTAACTCTTCAGTTATTTCCAACAGACAGTACATGGATATAATTAAATCATTATTAATTTGTTTGGATACGCAATTCCATATAATATTCCCTGTTAATCAAATTCTAAAAGTTTTTTAACGAGAAAATTCACAGAAAAGGTTAAAAGACTATCACTTTTCACAAAGTATATAATCATAATATGGTCAGAAGGAGCAAATAAAAACATTTCCAAAATAACCACATGTAAGACTTTGATGCTTAAAATGTTTAGGGAGAAAGTGCAATACTGGTTTGTATTTTTTCTTTTAAATACCAACACCAGCCATATACAGTTTACATTATATGTTTATGTTCCTAAATTAATATTGTTTATGAGCATGTGAAAGGTATGGTGAATTGGAGATTCTCAAAACTTACTTTGTATGATTGGAAATTAATACATGATCGGATCAACTAAATGCTGTGGTGTTACTTTTTGTAAATGAAAAAAAAGTATTTTCGTTTACAAAGATGGTTACAAAGTAAGTAGACCAGGGTAATACTTTGAACTTACAGCTTGTCCAAGGTCATTCATTATTAATACTATTAGTAATATCTCCGGTAAATACATTGATGCATAAAATATTTCTGCATAATTAAAATATTTATGATAAAGGTGGTAGGTTGTGTACTTTGGTCAAACTGAGCAATCTTGCTTTTATAAAATATACCAACTTTTTAATGTTTAATGATTAACATGCTGTAATAAACAGTTTAAAATTAAAAGTCTAAAAGTATACAACTTAAATTCGTAATTGAATAAAGATTGTCCCTCAGCAGTGAGCAGGATTCAAAACCATGTGTTTTCTGGTGACAGTTCAAATGCCGTACATGAGAGGTTAAACTTTATTAGCTCCACCTGGCAGTTTTACAAGGTGATTCCGGATACTATTAACATAATCTTATTTGCAAATAGGTTACAGCGTGGTATGACGCAAAATGACGTGTTGTGACGTGTTTAATTACAACATGCCCACTGCGTTGTACCGCAGCATACCCCACTCGGTTTGAATGGCTGCATCTGTACCTGACAGGCCTATAAAGACCAAACAAAATTTTTGCCTGCTGTTTTTTTTCATATGTTTGACTGCTGAGTGGACACATTAAGAAATAAAAGACATTTGACTATTTACTTTCAAAGCCAAGGGAGTTAGCTTCAATTTAAGACCTGAACCAGGATCCTGCTATATTCTGCTGCAGAGATATAACAAAATGTTTAAGGGGAGGAAATTCCATGCAGACATTGGCTAAAAGGGTCTTCGGCAGTAAATTAACCTGTCTGTTTCAGGATTGTTTTGAAGTGACGTTTTGTTAGAGTGCTTGCCTATCAACCAAGAGATCAGTGTTTAATTCCCACTCAAGGCATGTTTTTCTTTAAACAAATTAGTCTTTTTTAAAAATAAAATAGTAGCTATTCTGTACATTAGATTGACATTTTATTTTTAGATATCACAATGTGTTCAATACATTTTAAAAATGAATGAGCAAATGTGAATACTGTCAACAGTGGGAGTAAAATACAGTTCAACTGATTAATTAAATTAAATTCAAAATACTGTATCCCAATGGGGCAATTCAAGACAAGCCTTTACAAGTCTTAAAACAAAATAGTATACAGTGCCTTGCGAAAGTATTCGGCCCCCTTGAACTTTTCAACCTTTTGCCACATTTCAGGCTTCAAACATAAAGATATAAATTTTT